CCATATATTTTAGGAACTATATCGTATGAATATTTAAATGCGAATTTTATATGACATTTTTAGTGCTTATGAGAAAAGAAATTCTGATAAAAAGTTCCAAAGTGAAAAAGATAAAAGTGTTCTATCAAAAAGATAATGCGCCATGTCACAAGTCATTCATAACAATGGCTAAATGGTACGAATTGCATTCCTATCCATCGTAATCTCCGTATATTGGCACTTGTTTGCAGATTTAAGAAAAATGCCCTGGGGGAAAAATTTGCCGATAAATAAAAAAGAGATCGCCGAAACTAAAGCCAATTTTTAGGACAAATAGAGTTTATTCCCCGAAAATCAATTTAATGAAGAAAAGTGTTGCAATGAAGAATGTTTCCCTCTTAAAGAAGAGCAACATATTCAAGAAGCCGAAGCCTATGTTTAAGTTCAAATTTGATTAAAAGTTATTGTTTTTGTAGTTTTCCTTTTAATTTATCAAGTGATATGTTATGTTATATTTTACCTCAGATTTTGTTATGTACTGGCTTCAAATCTTTTCCTTGACGTTCTTAATGTTGGGTATATTTATTTAATCTATTAAAGCAATATATGTAAATATGTACGTGTTGAAATGTACTGTATCTACGATTAGGAGTAGATTTACTTCTTTTTTGTGTGTTTTTTGGACTAATTTATATGATTGGTATTGTATTCCGTATTATGAAACCGACATAGACTCATACGTTTCTGAAAAATAGCTTTGCTCACTATTATATTTTGTATGCCCCGCTCATAATTTTAAAAATAATCTTTCAGTCTCGTATGCTTCCTCCCACTACCCCATTACCCCACTACACTATCTTTCATATGTGACATGTAACAATTGCCTACGAAACTGGGGAGTTACCCACCATTTGCAGCAGCACAAACAATGACGACAACCACAAACAAACGTCATGAAAATGTGTTAAATGTCAGTATGACGGCACGGCGTTTGTGCAGCATGTTAGATTGCTGTCTGTGATGTTGTTGTGGCAGTAGTTGTTGTAGTTGTTATATTTGTTTGTATGCTTGTAGATAAATAAATAAAGTGAGAATGAGGTTTATACACAAGTATTATGTAGGTAAAATTAGGTTTCTCACCGGTAAAAAAATACACACTACTGAACAATTGAAGCTTTTTCTTATTAGATTTTTCACTGTTGATCGAGTTCAGTTTATTTTTCTGTCATGAATTTTTCTGTCGCTGGTATCTGTTTTTTGTTATTTTAACTTTTATTTATTTAACTTATTCTCATTAAAGTTTGTCACTATACTCGGTGAGGTTTTTGTTGTCTTCTTAATTTGCGACTGATATCAACTGAATGATGAACAATTTTCGACAAAGTTTAAGTAGTAACGGTAGGTCCGGGGGATAAGACTTGAGTCCGCTAGATTGTGAAATCTTATTACAAAGAAGTATCTTACTCTCTATTGTTACCATTGTCCAAATTAGACACTTATAATTTTTGTTTTGAAAGGAAAATCTTCATAATGGTTTTTTTCTATATGAGGAATAATGATATAGTGAAGAAGAAGAGGAAGAAAAAAGTGTTACGAATTCCCTTTAACTATTTTGAACTTCATTCTCAAGATTTATTAACCTACAAACAACAACAATATATGTATATTGGGTAATATATAGGAAGTATTTGCGGTTTTTTGTCACTAAATTGTGTTGCCACATTTTCAGCCCACATTTTTTTAGGAACGAAGTTATGAATTCCTTGCTCGTATGAAAAGTAATATTGGCTTGAAAATGATTGAAATATTTGAAGCAATACGCTATGCGATGTTCTATTATTATAAAATAGATGAAATTGCTGCAAATACATACTTGAAAATTTGTGCGGTTTACGGTGAGTAGGCTGTGAGTAAACACCGAACCCAGGAAGGGTTTACTGAATGCCATTCCGGAAATTTCGATGTAAAAAACGCACACTGCTCTAGTTCAATCACTAAAAAAACAGCTAACATTTTGCAAGTAGTGAAGTAAGAATGATGCAGAGGCACTAAACGTCAACCGTAAGGCAGTTTAGAATTATCTAACAAGAGTGGGCTACAAAAAGAGGCAAGATTTTGGTTGTCCGAAGAGTCTCTAAAAATCATTGCTCAAGTTTTTACTCAATAAACAATCTTACAGACAATTAGAAATTTGAATATATGTACGTATTTATGTATGTCAAAAAACCTAATGGTTTCTGAAATAAGCAAAGGAAAGAAACCAATAAAAAAGAGTTAACGGCGGTGTGGTAAAAGGTTAATCAGGGGTCCAGCTATATCATTAACATTTAAGGCCGTTAGAGCACCCTGCAAATTTATTTTCACAGCTTTAGTTTTTCTGTAGTGTTTAGATTTATGGTGATATATCTGTAGACCAGAGAAGTATATTCAGTCATATAGTTTAAGCTTCAACTGAGAATTGTCCATAGGTATACATTTGGAGTAACTTAATTCTAACAAAACACACAGTAATAAGATAAATGTTTTAATATTCTACAAGTGTTTTTTTTTTGACATTTCTAATAACCATTTCTTTGCAGTAAGTTTTTTTGTTTCGATACTAATATATATATTTTGTATCTAGTACATAGGTACTAAGTGAAGTTGCCACAAGTGTGATAGACACACAAGAAAACGTCTTTTCGATAGGTATTTATGCTTTCAAGCAAGTAGCATATTCTAGTACCACCTATTCACGTGGTACTCAATACATCTCTATGATGGCAATCTGTTGAAGAATGGTTCAATGGTTCACAATACCATACATACTGGAACTTTGTACGTGATTTTTTATTCCTACTCTATTCACATTTAGCGCGACTTTGAAGGATATTGTTTCGATATTTGAAGTTGCTGCACAGTAGCATTTGTGAAAAATATGTACTTACCTAGTATTAGAGTGACACTTAACACTTCAGATGTGTGGGTGCTGGGAATTATAAATCTGAGTTGAAGACTTCTAAGAGAATTAAATTAAATTAAAGATGCATAGTAAACATTTTGATTTGAAAAGATAAGATTCGTATCTCTATTGTATATAACCGACTGCAGTACTATTTTGTTATTTTTAGTTATGTGTGATTGAGCAATGTACATACACTTAGTGTGGCCCAAAACAATTGCAACCAATTTCCATAATATTTGTATACATGTCAACATAGCTTAAATATTTCGTTTAATAACATCTTATTTAGTTATCTACAATCATGTGAACTTTTCATTCACTATGTTGAATAAAATGTTATTCATGTTCAAAAATAAAATATTATTTTTCGAGCCCATGAACACCAAAATGTGTGTACATCATTTGCGCCTCATACCTACTATGCAATATAGACAAACTTGCCAATACAGGCGCTCTTTTCTCTGACAGTCTCTTTCCCTGACATTTCTCAGATATTGGCGTCCCACTTATAATGGTCAAAATGTCAATCAATGTAATGTAATGGTTTATGGTTTAGGCTAAGGCATTTCAGCACTGCGACTAGCTTGATCTATTGTGCACCTCTTTCTGTTTAGACATTTAGTATCTCGAGGCCTAGTGCATCACAGTTGGTGATCAGATGTTCCATAAACTCTTCCTCATCACAGCAGAATCCGCAAATATCTGTGTCGGATATACCAATTTCGTAAATGGCAATCAAACAAAAATATCTGAGTAAAGCTAAACAAAATTGTGCAGATGAACCCTCCTGTCAGACCTTAATATCAACCTGGTCCAAACTGGACAAGAAACGTACCGTCAGCTGCTTCAACTATGGTGTACCTGTTCAGACGTACGGTATCTGTGGCAAAGGTTCACTGCATACTAGGAAGACATGCTATGATACTGGATTTAACCTATAATGACTTTTGTTGTGGTTGTGACTTTGTGGATGACGAGAAAACTGAACTCCACCTCCTATATCTGTGCTCATCATTGGCTAGAAAAAAATGTGAAATCTTCGGAGGAAATTCGCGTCACAGTGAAAATGGTTATAGATATCAGTCCAAATTCAAATTGGGCGCAAATTTATTAATGTTGCACAGACGCGGTCAATTGCAGAATACCATTTTCTGATGAGAAAAATTTTTCAATTAAGCAATAAACAAAACACACATATGAAAATAATTTTTTTGTGTGATCTCCAGTATCTCAGCATCGATGTTTGTAATAACTTGGGCGGCTATAAACCGTGATATTCTATAATCGCTCTCTGTTAGTCATATTGAACTGGAGTGTCTAACTCAATGTGAATGCCTGTTGGAATTCACTTTTGAAAGGCATTCTGCAGTCGTAGTTAATTAAACATTTTGTCGAAGTCGAGGTTTTAAAAGGATTCTAACAGGAACAACCTGTCATATTTCTTTGCGATTAGACAATGATCTCTTAGTTTACCAAACTCGACACCTTAGTATAAGGCATTTTGCAATCTAATTAGGAATTTTGTTATTAAGGCAAACAAATATAAATTAATTTCAACCTAAAATTTTTACAATGTTATATTTTGATATTTTTGACTAATATTTATCGATATTTAAAAACTAATACTGGTCTTCCATCATTCTGAGGAAAATGTGATGAAAATTTTATTGCGAACATAAAATACATAGTGCTTCTTACCCAAAGTACTTCAGAAAGGAAGTAATTTTTGCAACCATCTAAGGTTTTATCTAAGTTTCTAAGGTTTATCTAAGGGATTTTTAGAAGTCTCCAAAATTTACTGTCAATTATCTTATTAATATGATTAGGTTTAAATTTTACTTTAATTTTAAGCATTTATATTTATGTTATATATGTAGTAAGACTAATACCGCTAAACTGATAAGCAGTTACCCTATGCTTTTTTAAGATTCAAACTTTTATCGTATAAAGAAAGTAAATATGAAGATTTATTTATCTACGGCCGAAATCACAAATGTTTATATACACAAAAATACTTTTGCTTTCTATATACATATTCATGTTATTTACAATAGATTTTTTTCTGCTTCTCAAACAGAACTGCACGGGATTAGCAAACATAGGAGTAAACGTATCCGCGGAACGGTAAACATAGTGGCACATGTTTCTTCTTCATAGTGAGTTAGTCGTTGCATAGGGTATTGCTGTTGCTCTGTGCTGCGCTGCGCTGCACAACTGTTAAGTACTGATAAGCCATAATCGTTTTTTATGACTTTGAGCTTATCAGTACGGCCGTGCGATATTCGAGACCATAACAAAACAACGATCAAAACGTGCAGTTCACTCTGAATTCGTTTCGAATCAGTTCGTTGTATTGTTGCACGATTGTTGTTATCAATATTATTGTAACGAAAGGAGACAGGCTGCGACTAAACACGGCTGGATAAAACATACCCAAGGTGCAGCACACTCAGCTAAAGTAGCTGCTGCAAGCAATGTCGCACGGTGTAGGAGCTGACGGGAGCAGTAGTTTTAATTCACAAAACGTTGGTAACGGCGGTGGTGGGAGTGAATATCGGGAATTGCACTGGACGTCGACTGTCATGGACTCATCGCGTGTATCCACATGCCTTATATCTATGCTGCTGATTGTATATGGCAGTTTTCGCAGTCTTAATATCGAACAGGAGGCTAGAGAACGGGAACAGAAGAAGCGAAATGAATCTATGACAAATTTACTAACTGGGGAACCAGTTGAACAAGAACCAAGTAAATATGCAATATATCAATTTAAGAAAAATTATTTAAAATATTTGTATATTTTTTATTTAATTTTCAGATAAATTTGCAACATTAGATACAATGCATGCACTTTGTTTGCCATTGGGTGCTTCTGTTTCCCTGCTCATAATGTTCTTTTTCTTTGATTCAATGCAATTATTATTTGCTGTTTGTACCGCAAGTGAGTATTTTAAAATGACTACATATATACATATGTATCTATATGTATATATAAATGATGGGGTTTTCCCTGCATTAGTGCATGTTCAATAATAATGCTTTTTTAATATATATTTAAAGTAATTGCAACAGTTGCACTCGCCTTTCTACTCTTGCCCATGTGTCAGTATATAATACGCCCGTGCACTGATGGTAATCGTATTTCATTTGGCATATGTGGTCGTTTCACTGCAGCTGAATTATTTAGTTTCACACTATCAGTGTCAATTGTATGCATTTGGGTGCTAACTGGTCACTGGCTACTAATGGATGGTAAGTTTACAATATTTTAAACTAAATTAATAACGATAATAAATGTGCTTTTATATCTACTTCTACTTCTGGCAGCTATGGGTATGGGCTTGTGTGTGGCTTTCATTGCATTTGTACGCTTGCCCAGCTTGAAGGTTTCAACATTATTACTTACTGGATTGCTTATTTATGACGTATTCTGGGTGTTTTTTTCATCGTATATATTTAGCACAAATGTTATGGTAAAAGTAGCTACACGACCAGCGGATAATCCAGTTGGTATTGTGGCGCGTAAATTAAATTTAGGCAGTATTGTAAAAGAACCACCGAAATTGAACTTACCGGGAAAATTGGTTTTTCCAAGTATACATAATAGTGGTCATTTTTCAATGCTGGGTTTAGGTGATATTGTAATGCCGGGGCTTTTGTTATGTTTTGTGTTACGATATGACGCATATAAAAAATCTCAAGGTATTACATCAGATCCTACATTGTCACCACCAAAGGGAGTCGGATCTAAACTGACATATTTTCACTGTTCCTTATTGGGGTAAGTATTAAAGCTTGATTTATTTTTATTATCCGATATATAATAGTTTTTCTGAATAGTAATTATTAAATGCGTCTCTGTTACAAAATAAGATAAGTTAGATAGATTTTAGTATATAAATCGAAAAGACAGATTAAAAATATTGGTTTGTTAAAGACAACTGACATAGGTGTTTTGGATAGCTCTATGTAGCTACCTATAAAAAGATTCTTCTCTGTGCCTATAGTTTTTTTATATACATTAAATTATTTTATTAATTTTTCCTCTTGGAGATAAATAATAAGTACTTGAATCTTAACGCTACTCACCTACACTAATAAATTTTGTTATTGTTACATGTATATAATTAAATGTTAACTAAAATTATATGGAAGTCTATTTATTATAGTTGACTATAAAGAATCAAAAGAGATATGCTTAGTAAATAAGTGGTTGCAGATTAAATTTTCATCAGTAGAAAAAGGGACAAGAGTAGAAAAGTAAAATAGAAAATGTAGTAATATCAATAATAATATGAGTAAGCTTGATTTCTGGCGGGGCGATTAGTTAGTTAAAGGCGTGAGTGTCTAGTTTTAAATTAAGCTTTCTGGGTTAAATTGTTTTGCAATGTTTTTTGTCTGATCATTAGGAATTCTAATTTTATTGTAGAAACTTTAAGATCCCTAATAAAATGTTCATTTTTAATGCACCATTGTGACCCTGTCATTACTCATTTATGAAAGATTTCAATAATTGACACATTTGCGTTGAAAACGATATGTTGAAAATGGTTTAATTAATAAGTCTAAAAGGAGGAGGATAACAGTTTAAAAGCCAGGGCAGTTCATCAGCTAATAATGTGAATGGCACTTTTCTATCTGTTTACATCATGCGCTTCCATCTAAGTATATTTCTGGATAGGTTAAGTTCTTTGATTGAGGTATAGGTTACGGTTTTTTGTATTTTCTAAGAAAGTACTTCGTTGAAGGTTGAAAGTGATGTGGCGACATTTTCGTTTTAATTTTTAATACGTCACTGGGTAGACATTTTTTTAGCTAATATTCCCGAAGTAAGGTATACCTGTCGTAAAAAGTGATTTATATTAGGCACATCCTATACTGTTTTGGAGTATGGTAGCGATACTTCAATAGTGCTAACTTCGGTTGTCATAGTTATTCGGTTGGTTTCGAAAGGGAGTGTCGTGGCGTGTGGGGTTAACTTGAATTTACGTGAAGTACCAACGTGATTATTAACCGTGTGCTTTGCCCCAAAGAACAGCAGATGTTAAGACAGGCTTCACTTAAGAACATAGTAGTTAACATATATTTTGTTGTATTAAATCCACATGGTAGATAACCTGTAAAATAGCTACAACTCATGATAACACTACTGAATTTTCAAAGCATGACACGACGATTACTTGTAGGCATGTCTAACAAAAAGCAAAAAAAAAGTCTAAAAAATAATATTTATACATCTTGTTATTATGATTATTATTATCCCATGACATAAAATATATTTTGAATTGAAAAAGGAGTGAGAAAGTGAAAAACTTTTCAAAATCAAATTTTATTTTAATTATTAATCAAATAATAAATAAAGCTGTGTTGGATATCACTGAATATCCATAAACATTTATAGGTGTAATGGTCCGTATTTTTGGACTTCAAGATTGGAAAGTGAACCCGCATGGTAACATAACATAGCCTAGCCATCGTACGTTTAATTTGAGTTGTTCGAATTTGGAGTTTTATTAATTACTATTGCACTTGTTGTGTCACTAATTAGAACTAACACTTAAACAACAGTTATGTAAATTGTTGTTTTTTCAAACTTCAATACTATTGTTTGTAGAAAACATTTCTGCAAATGTCTTCTCTATTATCACAAATTCTATTCGATAAGGATTTGTTGTCATCGGATATAAATGTTATAGGTATTTATTAGGTATCATTAATTATCTAATATTATCGAATAGAATTATCTATCAGATTTTTTGATACCTTTATTTAAGATCTAACAAAACTATTTTGCTTTCAGTTATTTTTTGGGATTACTAACAGCTACTGTGAGCTCTGAAGTGTTTAAAGCAGCACAACCGGCACTTTTGTACCTTGTTCCATTTACGTTATTACCATTGCTGACAATGGCTTACCTCAAGGTAATATCAAATTCTTAAGAAAATGTGTGCAGTTATTGAATTATTAAATATCTTATCTTTTTCAGGGTGACTTACGTCGAATGTGGAGCGAACCTTTCATTGCACATCAACCATCAAAACAACTGGAAGTCTGAGTGTTTTTATGTAATTTTCCTTGTAATAGTTTTCCTTAAGTTTATCATTTAGGATGAGACTAATATTTTAGCTAGTAACAAATGTTTTTAAATTAATTTTTATTGCCTTTTAGTTATTCGTATTAAGTTTTAAAAGCGAAATTAGTTTAATTTCTAGCTATCCTATTTTAATAAGTATTACAATACGATTTTATTTTCTCTTGGCAAAAAAGAAAATAAAGTAAGGAGTATTGGGCATATTCCAAAATGTTCAGCAGCTAAATTCATACTTTATTTATTTCTTATTTCTTGTTTTTGATGATTATAGTTTTATAAGAAATTTAACGAACAAATCATTTTATTCACATTAAAACTTTATATATATATTGTGATTATTTATAGATATTTTACAAATTTTTACAAGTATTAAAAGACATGTTGCACATGTTCTTATGAGCAATTTTATTTCTTTTACTAGCATGCTATGATAACAACCGTTTAAACATTTTTTTACGTAGCCAATCAAGTCTCCTTTGTAAATAAAATTTAGTTATACTATAAAAAGAAATATGAACAAAAAATAATTACTAATGTTAAATAAAAATAAGCGTTAAACCTAAATTAAACCTTAAACATTAGGTGTAATTGCATAAGTTAAATATTTTTAAAAATTAAATTAATTTTAAATAGTTTCAGTGCATCGCATTCTCTTTAATTTTAAAGTTACAAAACACATTAAATTATTTTTGTTTCTTCTCAAAGCCTTCTCAAAGGGACGCTGTTCGTGCGCCAGATGCTTCGGATTTCTACCTTTAAAATGGTCCCTTAGTTCTGGCGTACTGACTATATCTCATTTGTGGTAGCATAACGGGTCTTATTTGCGGTCAAATGAGCCTTGGTACATAAGGTTACCACACCAACCTAACCTACATATTTATTGTTTTAATTTTTTTTTTTTGTGCACGGATTTTGTCGTATATAGTACTTGAATTTTTTATCTAAAATTTATTAATTGATTAAGCATTTTTAAAGAGATTTAAACTATTTTTTGTATCTTTAAGTTTTATGTAAATGCAGCTCAAATATATAGCTTAATATATGTAGTTCATAAGGCTGACGTTTAGTTGTGGCTCGTTGATAATTGAAGTTAAAATGAGAAGTATAGATTTCAGTTTGTATTCGATTAAATCGTTTGAATAGTTTGAATAGTTTTTGTGAAGAAGAAATATGAAATATAATATTGAAGTTCATTAGATAAACTTGCACTGATATAACTAATTCTTTTTTGTCTTAAAACTCAACTTCTCAAATCGAAATATTTAAAATTTAAAACTATAGAAGTACTTAAGTTGTCAATAATATATGTATTTGTATATTTGTATGTAAAAGTAAATATTTTAAATGACGCACAGTACTTTCAGTTTTATTTAACTTCAATTAACGTACTATGTATACCATATGTATCCAAAATAAATTTCGACTGCAAATCTAAAATAATTAATTTTGAAAAATTTGTATTTGTGGTAGTATTTTTCAGCCTAAACCGGAAAGCATAAATTGATATGCCAAATAATTGTGTTCGTTATAAAAATTAGTTTATTTGTAAATTCACACTTTTAATACTCTATAACAAACCATTATGTACTATGCATTTCTTGTGAAACAATAAACGTAAATTTAGACTATACTATACTATTTAACATAATAAAAATTACTAAATTTATTTATGTCTAAAGAAAATTTATGATTTATTTTGAATTTATTTACTAATTTTTTTTTTTTTGGTAACTAACCTAACATTTCTGTTGTTGCGCTCTTTAGAGGTGATGATCAATTGATTTTGTATAATCGATATTGTATATTTCATATAAATCAGTTATAGTTTATATTTTAAATTAGATAAAGCATTTAATTTTCTAGAATAAAAAAACGATGAATATTGCAAATAATACACTACACAATTTTTTATTATTAAAAAAATTGCAAAAGTTTTAAAATCTAGTTAAAGTGTATACTTGGAAAATATAAAAAGTAGATTTGGTTTAATAAATAAATTGAAAACATTTATTTGAAAACTTCATAGAAATATTATTAAAATTGGTTTGTAATAAATAAATTCAACTCTTAATGCTTTTTAAATGCATATAATACATATGTGTAAATGTATATATATTTATATATTTGTATGTGTATATATGTTTATGTATATGAACATATATGAATATATATGTGTATGCTTTTAAAACTGCATAGATTAGATGTTAATTAAATTCATTTTATATAGATATATACACCTCTATGTATATATTTTTATACGTTAAGAAATAATTGAACAGTGTAAACAAATTTTTTAAGTTCTACTTATTTAAAATATATATATACATAATAAAAAAATTGCAAGTGAAATTGTTTAACAATAAAAATGAAATCCAATTACAATGTTTTAAACTTTTAAAAAGTTTTAGGATCAATGAACTTCTGCGGAATCACAGTACGTTAGTTCAGATGTTATATATATATATATAGATACTGCTATTATTGAAAAGAAATATAAGGGAACTATTTGTGATATTGTTTGAATATTATAATAGTCAATGATTTGGGGGGCGTACCAGTGGTGGAATGCTCTATGGTATTAAGAAAGAAGTGTATGATAAAGGAATAGCGCAATATAATAAGATGGCTAATTTTATGGTGGTTGAGCTAAAATTGGAAGATCAAAATTGTATTAATTGGGATGCTGTTTTCACCGACTTAAGGGACGCACTATATGATATAGACAATATGAATGTGATGGTTATAGGCGATTTTAATGGAAGAATAGGAAATGAACAAGCTATTGAGTTTATTCCAGAATTACCCCAAGAAAACGCAAAGTTACATAGAAATGCAAAAGATCTAACTCTAGATAGGAACGGAAAAAAATTAATAGTTAATAAATTAATAATAAAAGACTTCAAAAGCTTTTGGAATAATGTATGTAAAGTAAATGGCATAAATTTCAGTAAGTCAGTGCATCTTAATTCGGGCGTTCTAGGTACTTATTTTGAAAAACTTTTAAGCGCAACGGAGAATATAAGTCGTTTTAGTTACGCAGAACTACTAACTCAAATCAATGAATTAGACAAAAAAATCGAGGTAGTTGAATTAACAGAGGTTTTAGAGCGTTGCAAAGAAAATAAAGCGCCTGGAGATAGAATTCCAGCAGAATTTTTAAAATTGGCTTCAGGTGAAGGTATCACAAGGATTACAGAGATTTTTAACTACATATACCATAATGCAGAAGTACCGGGATATTTGAAAAATTCAATAGTTTTTCCACTATTTAAAGGAGGTGATCCGCATGAAGTAAAAAATTATAGAGGAATATCATTTTTAAATTCGATAGCAAAAGTATTTACAGGCATAACATGTTATTACATCAACGTCTGCAAAGTTGGGTCCACGCTAAAAAACTACTAAGTGAATCCCAAGCAGGCTTCAGGCGAGGTTACTCAACTGTGGGCAATGTTCTGACAAATATTGCAAAATTATACGTTGAAAAAGGAAAAAAATTGTACGTGTTTTTTGTAGACTTTAAAGCCGCATTTGATTCCATCGACAGAGATGCTATGTTTTATAAATTAAGTAATTATGGTATATCTACAAAAATGCTAAACATACTGAGGGCGTTATATTGTAACACGACTGCAGCAGTATGGGATGGAAACAGTCTTTCTAAGTGGTTTTCTTCGAACACAGGAGTAAAACAGGGTTACTTGATAAGCCCTCTTCTTTTTGCGTTGTTCATAGACGATTTAAACAATTATCTTTCCGAAGGTATCTTAATAAATGGTACATGTATTAAATTACTATTATATGCAGATGATTTAGTACTTATAGCGGATTCATCTTTAAAGATGCAAACTATGATCAATGAATTATATTCCTACTGTATGATATGGAAACTTAAAACAAATATTTCTAAATCTTAAATTATTATATTCAAAAGGAATTGCAGAAGGCTTATGAAAAATGAAATTTGGAACTTAAATGGTGAAGCGTTAGAAGTAGTGAAAGAATACAAATATTTAGGAGTTTGGATCAGTTATAATGGTAAATTTAATGAACATCTCAGTAAAAAGTTAAGTGAAGCCAGAAAAGCAATAAACTCGTCATGGAAAGTAATTTTGGGAAAAAATGAGGTTGCGTTCTCGGTAAAGTTGCAAGTATTTAAAGCTGCGGTAAGATCAATCCTCTTTTATGCAGCACAGGTATGGGGAATAGACGAATTTAACGAAGTAGAAATGCTTCAAAGGTACTTCATAAAAAGAATATTCAAGTTACCACAAAACACGCCCAATTATATGCTGCATTTAGAAACAGGATTGTCAACTTTATATATAGAGACGCTAAAACCACATTTTAAATATATAAATCACGTCATGAATATGAGTGACAATAGACTCCCTAAAATTTTGGCAAGGTTCCTCGCAAATACGAAGACAGGTTTTGTTGAAAAATGGCAATCACTGGCTAATACGCATGATGAGATATTGTTGCTCGAAAATAGAGAAGTATGGCGTTCGTGGCAAAAAAAAACTATTGATAAAAATTATGTTGAATGAAAGAGCTAAATTTACGTTGGCAGCAAGGGCAAGTGATTATAGACATACTTACAAAAGGTTGGAATATGAATTACGCGATCGGAATTTTTTAGGATGTTTATTAGGATGATTATACTATTGGAACTATCAGCCAGATTTTTAAAACTCGGGGCGAACTCCTTAAGTTAAACTATAGACCATATGTGCAAGTAAATTCAACACATTGTTCATTGTGTAATTTAGACCAGCCAGAAGACATAATACACTTTATTGGATTATGTCCAATTCTGAAAGAAATGCGCTACAAATTCTATGGGAAGCACACTCTTACAGAGGAGGAAATAATAGAGGCATTAAACGGGGAAAACTGGACCGCACTCTCTGACTATGTTAAAGATGCAATTAATTACAGACATAGAATAATAAATAAAAATTTTTAGTTTTAAATAAAATAGAATAAGAACAAGAAATATATTTACAATTCTACTTTAATATTCTGTAAAATATACTTTAATAAGCTTTAGAACACTTCATTATTAGTTAATTAGTTTGTTGGCAGACGGAATTTGGGCCATGCCTCTAGTTCAATAAGTAACAATATTTTAATGTGTAAATATTTTGTAATTTATTTATTAATAACATAAATTAACGTGTAAGATTAGTTTTAAGATTGAAATATTATATTGTTTTTGAAGTAAAATAAATAAAAAATACTACTACTACTACTACTACTACTACTACTACTACTACTACTACTACTACTACTACTACTACTACTACTACTACTACTAGTCAATGATTAGATTATTATTGCTATGCCAAACAGTCTCTTATGACTTTCCAATTTTATCGAGGCTAACAAGAAAACATACAATAAAAAAACGAACTGGGCCCTTTTCAAAGATGTCTTCGAATATGATTTTGGCAGTATTTTTCTGTTAACAGATTTGAATAAGGCAGAGAAATAATTTTGCAAAATTTTATTAAGTCCGCTGCTATTGTTATTCCTGTAGGTAGAATTAAGCTTTTAAGGCCACATTTTTCTAATAACGTTGTCCTGGAAGGCAACATCTGAAAAGTGATGGATGATCATCGCCATAATAAATGGAAGAAACATATAGATAATTCCGACTCACAAAATTATAATTGTTGGCTACCATTAAAACATTATCTAATCCTTTCTGCCCCAATGACAAGGCGATATTATTTAATGAGATCACCTTCTCTGCTCTGTTTGTAAGTGAACTATTGCATTGTGACCACCAATTTTATCGTCTTTTTATGCTCAATGTTCCTGCTTCTCGTTATTCCCAGACAGAAATGTGGAACGACACCATGCTGTCCAATGGCCTCCAAAGTCCTTGAGCCTGTTCGCATCTTGATGCTCATACTTAAACCCCTTGTGACCATTTATCTTCCAGTTTTAACACACTTTCTGAACTTATACCAGTTCACACATCATCCCTAATCGCTAATGGCCTCAATTAAATTCGCTGTGCGAATGCGCGGTTTTAGTAGACCTTGATCTCACAAAGACATTTGATACAGTCTCCCATAGCACCTTCTTAAATGACATAGTCGAAACATCTATCTTTGACTCAACAACATGATGGATCTGTAATTATCGATAAGGCAGATCATCCTTTGTTGATTTTCGAGGTAAGGTGTCGAAAGCCAGGAAAGCGTGAAATAAGGTATCCCTAGAGCACCTTTATATGTCCAAATTCCCGGACCCCTAGAGAGTCAGAGTCATAACGTATGCTAATGATTGAACAATACGAGCCACGAGCCAGTTTCTCTTCATGTTTTTCAACAAACTAAATGCATAGTCTCCTATGGAGCTACATAGGATGATAGAAATCTTCAACTATTACCAACTAAATTTTTTGTGCCACCCTCCTTACTTTCTGGACTAAAAAGGTATCTTTGAATTCCGGATACCCACCACTACCAAATCCAAAGCCGGGGTGTTGTTCTAGTTAGCATGTTGACCTTTTCTGCACATACCAAGGCTATGTGCAGTCTGCTGATGTTATGCAATGGTGTATTGAAATTTCCTCCAGGCTGCTCATGAGGTAAAGGCAATGAAACTCTGCTGAAGACATACAAAGTAATAGAAAGCAAAATACTAGATGCTTACAACTAGAGGATGAAGACCTTCAAAAACGCCCTCCGAAGGAGCTGGTTCGATTCCTCGAGATACTGAATGTCTAAATACAAATTTACTTAAAACTTTTCTTATCAAAACATATAACATTAGTTATATTAATTAGCATTCCTTCTGAATACGAAAGAATTTTAACCTTAAAATATTTCGCGAGATTGAATCATATAAAAAAAGAATGGGTTAATCATTAAGTACCAGGCAATTTCAGACTTGAAATTTTACGTTGAAACTTCTATTTACTATAGTAAAATAAAATAAGTTTAAGTAAATGAAAAATGTTTAATATTTATTTAAAAGATTACTTTCAATTTCTTTTTACCTAAAAAATATAAAATATTCTTTGAATATTAAAAAATATTCAAAACTAGCCGAAATGAGTTAATTACATTGAAAAATAAGAAAGGCATATGATAGTTATTTAAATTGGTTTCTAAATTTTAAATATATGTGATATGTAGGCTTTTAAAGAAAGTTTAGAGGCGTGAGGGAATTTCAAAAATGCGTGCTCTAATTAAACGCATTTAGAAAGATGGATCTGCATATCAATACTGATAATGATATTTTAAATAACATTAGAAACGTAATGCTATACTCCTTAATGGCTTATGGTTAGTAAATATTTTGAAATGTCTTCCCAGTAAATATGATCTAAAATTCTTAGTTGTACTATAACTTGAAATTCCTCTCCTATTGTTGTTAAAGTGGTAAATCTAAGCCTACTTCTTCTTAATATAATATCGCTTCTAACGGTTCATTACTAACGTCTTTCCAATTCCACATCTAGTATGTCCCATTCTGAAACTATTGAAAACGTAAATATCTTAATAAATTGGTGCAAAAAGAATGACTACTGATCACATGAACAATCTTCTAACTCTCCGTAAAGATATCATTTTAAAAAATTTGACAATTTGACGATTTGAAAAATAATTTTTAATTTACACTCAAATGAAGTTACCGTTTAGAAGAATTATGAATATTATGGATTGCTTTATCTATAATACTTAAAAAAAAGTAATTCTTACTTTGTAATCATAAGTAGTTATTAGTTAAAACAATTGCAAATAATATGGATTCCTTTATCTATAAAACTTAAAAAAAATTCTTATTTTGCGATCAATAGTAATTAGTTAAAAGAATTACAAATATTATGGATTGCTTCATCTATAAAACTAAAAATTTATCCGTTTTTAGAAACAAGAGTTGGTAATGCGAATTATTGTAATGATATTGGTAATGCGCTACACGCATTTTATGAGAAAAATAATTCTCGGTGTAGTATTTTTTCTCGCCGCTGCGTAAAATGTTTGCGGGATAAGAAGTTTTTAATAAAAATTGTGAGAAATTACAGTTAATATTTATAAAGTGCTAAATGTAATTAATAATGTTAATTATTTTAAAAGAATTATAAATTTATATATTGAAGTTAAAGACGCAATTGAGTAAAAGCAAAGAAAGTTTACATATACACATACAATTCGAAAAGAACGCAAGGTAAAAATGTTTGCAAAGTGAAAAATCTGTGCCTTGTGTTATGTTATTATTAAGGTTTTTTATTGAGGTTTCTTTTTAAATATTAATTAAGTTGCAAAATAAATGGTTAATAATAATAACAATCTAAAATGTTATATAAATTTAATTAATTAATTGACCAAATATCCTGAATATTGCAATTGCAGAAGCGTCATAGCACTTTTGCTTTCATTTCCATACGCCTGTTTTTTCCTTTGCTATGTTGTTTACTCAACGAGACGGTGTTGTTTGTGTAGAGTTTTTTATAGTATAGTCTGATATGTGGTGGGAAAGCAGTCGGTGTTTTGTGTTAGTGTATATTTGGTTGGGTGTGGTGAGTGAGTGGGGCTGTAGTTGAGGTAGAGGTAGAGGTATAGCGCCGTTACTGCACGGCATTTTTTTGGAGTTAATATTTGTGCAAAAATAAAAACAACAAACAATAAAAACAAATAAGCAAGCAAGAAATAATATACAAAAATAAAATATAATTAACTTAGTACAAATTACAAATAACAACGATGGTGATGACGATGACGGTGCAACAATAAATTGAATAAACAAGTGTAGCCTGCGCATCATGTATTGTTATCATGAAAAATTCTCTATTTTGTTTTTGTACACGGTTTGCCTTTAAGAAAATTAACAGTAAAAAGTGAATATTTTGCATTTAAATTTTAGTATCAGTTATACTTTTTGTTCTGAATATTTAGTATTCGTGATTTGTAATTTGTGATTTGTGACTCGTATAGAGAAAGAAGCATTAAAAATTTATTTAATTATAATTATATTGTTATTAATAATTCTCTTCTATATATATAAAGCAGTGTGGTATAGATGGCATATATGAACAATAAATATATATAATACATTAAAGAATTATTTTTAATATCAGAAGAGCAGTTTAAAAAGCATAAAAGCATAAATATATATACACATTTTTTGCTCTATATGGGCTGGCTATTTTATTATTTTGAGTGTCGGATTTCCGTTGATACTAGGAATGGAAATAACCATAAAAATTGATTATTAATTGAAATTTCATTTAAATATTTATGTAATATAATATAAAACTTCATTTACAAACTAAAAACTAATTAAATTATTTGAAATTTTTGCAGTCGCGCAATTAGGAAGACGCAATTTTTGCTCGTGTAAACTGTGTCAAGAGTTACTACAACAACTTCGAAGGTTTTTGATTACACCTCCACCTCCACCTGCAACAATTGCAGTCATAATAACAGGTTGCAAATAGGCAAAGAAAAGAACAAGATTTGGAGCATATGAAATAGGAAAAGAAATAGGAAAATAAAACAAAATAAAAAATACAAAAATAAACGTCATTGTAGTTTTAACAGACAGCAACGCTAACGGCAAAAGAGTAGCAGCCTAAAGAGAGCAAACGCAGACCTTGTGTGTCGTAGTGTCGCAGTGTCGCATTGAAAAGGAATTGAAATCCAAACTCAGCAGCAGTCAAACTCAGCAGCAGTCAAACTCAGCAGTATAAAGTGCAATGGGTGGAAACAGTGCAGCAGCATCGAGTACCTTTAGTGCAGGTGGCTATATGGGCCCCACTAGTACAAACAGTTTAGGCAGCAGTGCTGGTGCAGTTGGTGGCGATCTCATACCAGTTGGAAACTCGGTAGGCTCAAGTGGCACTTCATATTCTTATGGCACTAGGTGGGAGGACTTTTGCGACCGTCATGCACGGGTCGCAGCTGCAGATTTTGCGAAGGCTTGCATCAGTTACATAAATACGAATATGCCGCCTGAAGAAGCGCGCAATATGTCGCATCGGCACTTTGCGCAGAAATTTTTGGAATCCTTTGCAGACCACTATGAAACGGAATTTTTCCGCAGACGTAATAACTTAAAGGTAAATATTTATAATAGTTAACAAACTATGGTATATATAACTATTAACTATTTTTTGATATTATATTTATTTAAAATTCAGTTTCTAAATTATAAATTTTGTGTTTTCGAAGGTTTTTGTGAAATTGAGTAAAAAACTTTTAAATTAGTTATTTATTTTTTATTATTATTTTATATAGTTATAATCTATATAAATAGCGCCAACGTTTCGGACTTTATTTGCCTCCTTTCTTAGTGCAAATTGTTATAACAACCGATTCTGGCTTCTGTGAAACTGTTCCCACAAACCTTACAAAACACAAATTACTAACAAATATAAATAGAATAATATTGAATTTTAACAAATAAAAATATAAAAAAGATATGATTAATTAATTCAATTATTCTACAGCTGATTTATGATTTTTTTCTAATATAAACACAGCAAGTGAATTTGTTAATAAACTTTTACAGCAAATTAACAAAACTCCAGAAAAATGTGCAAATATAAAAGTCAAGTAGGGTTTTGGGGGTCAGTTGATTAAGTAGTGATAACTCTGAGCGTCAAATTTGGCAGGGCACCAATTCGATTCCTGGTATTTGCAGAGTCAAAAAAATTATTTACGAATAATTAAATACAAGAATTATTTCCAAGACCACTCATGATGAGTATTTGGCAATACTCAAAACGGCTGAAACAGCTGTTGGTCAGCCAAAAATTCAATTATTTAAAATAATATAAAATGAATTTTTGTTGTTGTAGTTCACTACTGTTCGAAAATAATAAAATATATAATAATAAAATAAATAATAATAAAACAAATAATAATATAATAAACAATAAAATAAATAATAATAAATAATAAAAAAAGTACTCGTAAGTAAATAATCTAATTCTAATATTATTTATATATAATGGACTTATAATAATTCCGAGATATGAGTTCCTACCTAGATAGTATTTTCCATGATATTAAATTGACTTCATTATAGCTGGGCGAAATATATATATATATAAATCATTTATTAAAATTAGTTCTATTAAAATTTTTAAAATTAGTGATAACAGTACAATCCATTTGTTTTCGTTGTTAAAGAAAAATAAAACTTCATATATATTTTATATAATTTTTGTTTTCGACATTAAAAAACACAAAATATATATAATATTGTATTTACACTAAAAGTTATCACATGTCATTAGAACATTTTTATACAGAATTTCCACGAATTTAGTACGAAAATCGTACATGTTTACATATATTTGTAGAGTTATTTGTAATATATTGTATATATATATAAAAAATATCAAAAATATCAAAAAGAAATTATTGATTAGCTACTACACTTGATATAATTTAGTTTTGAATTTAATTAATTTTATTATATATTTGTTTATAACTCATAAAAATGATAAATTAATATCTGTTACTCATTAAAAAAAATTGATTAATTAATTTCATCCGGTTTTAATGGATATATAAATCTATATGTGGAAAAGATATACATTTAAAGCGGCATTTTGCTTACACTTTATATTTCTTCCATATTGCATGACCAAACCTATTGAAGAGATCGAGTGCATTCCATATCAAAATCGTTCTAGAATGAAAAATTGTCTTTCCAGCAAAGTGAAGCGTAACATAACACATAACAAAAACTGTTGGAACAGTCAATACTTATATTATTAGTAGTATACTTTTATAATACGAATGTGTACCGCTATATTTTCAATTTTCAACATTTAAAATATTTGAGTACTCATTTTAATCAAAGTACGCATAGATGTCTATTTTCGTCCTGTATTTTCCGAAATTAGTTCATCTCATAACATCATTTTTTCAGAAATCAATAAAATCTTATGCATTAAAGGGAAATTTTTCTTATTTTTATTATCTGACTTTTTCTTCTACATATATTTTTCTGATGCTCAGAATTTTACTTTAGTGGTTTACCTTTACCACTGACAATAGTGAAAGATAGAACCTAATTATCGATATTAGATTAGATATAGATAATTATCGACAAAGATTCAAGCACAGTTTTAAAGTCAAAATATCTTTATAAACATACGTGTCGGTGTTTATGATATTATTTTATCCATAGTTTCTTACATTATATATAAATCAATTAGTTAAACTGATTATGTATGACTTAGTTCCTAAGTTATACATCCTAAGAAATTCTATGAACATAGAATATTGAAAGTGGTGAATCCTTAATTCACAAAACACCTCACCATTTTAACCGTCTTTGCGCATTAGTAAAATTTAGCAATTTGCTCTGATTGCTCTAGACTGCTTGAAATGACATTATTTAGTGGTCAGTTTATTTGACTCGATTTAGTAGCTATCATTGAAGTACTGGTTAATAATGATACTTATAGTAATATATTTAATTGTTTCTGGACGTAGTGTGGATTATATAAACAATAATTTTTAATTCTTCAATAGGGGTATTCACTTTGTCTTCCAAAGTCATTGCTGCAAGTTGCAATAAATTTACAGATTGCGCGAGCTTGCAATGGACAAGAACAAAATATACGCACAAAGTTTCTTGCAGATGCTTGCAATCTTGCTATACTTAAACCCGTATATGTGCTTACAACGAAACAAAACAGAAAAAACAGCTGTTTTGACATTTGTTGCTTCTAAAGTCGATGTGGTCTGTTGCAAAAACATAACAAACATAAAAATTTTCTTTTGATGTTAAAATTCTGCAACAGACGTGTATTCGCACTCTTACAATTTTAGTATAGCATTCTTGCATTTCGTGCATCTTGCAATGAGCTTGCAAGACAGAGTAAGATATTAGGGGTATCTTTATTAAAAGGTTACCAACTAACTATTGTTCACATTGTGCTGGAAACGTGTTATGCGATTTTCTTCTAATCTTGCGCTTTAAACTTCATTCCATATACAGCACAGTTATAATACGATATAGTTATTACTTATTAAACCTAAGTTGATAAAGTCTACATTATCCAAAGCAAACTTTTTTGTCAATCAAAAGGCTTAAATGAGGATTTCAATAGTGTGTAATTTATTCTCGACTCTCTCTCCTTATTCCTTCCTCACCACACCAAATCCTAACCCATGTATACGTAATTGTAATTCTTTATATATTTTCTGGTATATATGTCGCCTCCTGTTACAACTATAACAATGTAGTTTATCGATGGTTTAAATAAAAAAGAATATATATAATTAATAGATCTTAAGGATAAATATATACTTACTGAGAATATTGATGGTCATACACAATACCTGGACATAGCGCACCGCTTTTTTTGTCTGACGTTACTCTATTTGTAGTGTCAATAATCGAATTTATATTATTCGATTTATTCACCTATATTGTGGACCGGAATCCACTTTCAATTCAAATCATTATTTTATTGTATTAAAAATTCATTGCATCTATAATTAATTAATTTGTCAAGCTATTTAAATAAATAACAAATTATTTAAATTGTAGTTATAAATGAACTGTAACAGTTAATCCCTGTTAATTAACAGCCAATTAACAGCCATGTTAATTAAATATAATAGGTATTGGGGTTCGCAGAAATGTTGCGAACTTATCAGAGTTTTATTGCCGCGATAGTTATATTAGACATGGAATTAAAATAAGTCTAAAAAAATCTATACATAACTGTAAATATACTAATCATATACAACTTCTGCATATACAACTTCTAAAGTGATATAATTTTATATATTTTAGATTAGCAATGGGACCGTTGATGAAAGTGATTATTCTGAAGAACACGATTCACCAAAAATTTTTCATAAAGCTTTCTTCCGACGCTTGTCTTTCAAAGGATTACGAAAGGGAAAGGTTCGATAGAAGCATTACATTATATATTGTACAATATAATTACGTTTCATATATACTTAAAAAAATTCAGAACAGTAATTTTAAAATGTTTTAATATTAGAATTTTCTCTTCTTACAGGCTTTATTCCATAAGAGTTCGGACGACGATAGCAGTAGTAAGCAAAGCAAAACTAAACTAGCTAAGATTGTTGTGGAATGCCGTAAGGAGGGTATTGTTAATAACTTAATTCCTGAAAGTGTTGATCAACCAAAGTGGGAGAAATGTAAATTGGTGTTAGTTAAAGCAGTTGGTGGCTACATGTTGGAGTTCTATACGCCACCTAAATCTACAAAGGTATGCTTTCGTGTAATATTTATATATATATATATATATATGAAAATAACTAAAAAATTTATATATAATAATTTTTTTTATATAAATGGTTTTAGCCCCGCAGTGGAGTATTTTGTTTCTTAATATCAGAAGCACGTGAAACTACAGCATTAGAAATGCCAGATCGTGAGAATACGTTTGTTTTAAAGGCTGACAACAATATGGAATATGTGATTGAAGCGCAAAATTCTGAGGAGATGCGCAGTTGGCTGGCTACAATACGCTATTGTATGCGGACACCGCCTACTCAACAACCGACTATAGAATCTGATGTGATTGCAGCTGCAATGCAAACATCTCCTGTTACTGCAAATCCTAATAGCAGTTTAATAGGTGGTAGCACAGTGAATGCTGTGCAGAATCCACAATATCACCAGCAGAACGCATTAGGGTCAAATACTAATGTGGCCCCCAGCAGTTCGATGTCAGATAACACACTTTCAACAGCTGCTGCATTAGCACCTGTTGACGGTAGCACGGTTGTAGAGACAAATGTAAGCACAACTAATGCATATGAAACAGCCACCAGACGTGTGGGACCAGGTGAGCGAGGTGAACAGCGACTCTCTGCCTCGAGTAATTTTGACGCTACCGAAGGTGATGAAGAAGGTGCTATTAATGTTGCTGACTTGACTGCTGAAATGCGTCAATATCCATGGTTCCACGGTACATTACCACGTGCTGTTGCTGCTCATATGGTATTGCAAGCAAAAGAAAGCGGCCATGGTAACTTTTTAGTGCGTCAAAGTGAAACACGCAAGGGTGAATTCGTGCTTACATTCAATTTTCAAGGAAGAGCCAAACATTTGCGTATGACTTTATCTGAGAAAGGACAATGTCGTGTGCAACATCTATGGTTTCCGTCAATACAAGAAATGCTTGAACATTTCCGTACAAGTCCAATACCGCTGGAATCCGGCGGTACATCTGATGTGACTTTAAAGAATTGGGTGCATAATCAAGGTGTATTTGATACTGGAGAGGGCGAAGGAGGAGGAGTTGGCGGTGGTATTAACGGTGGGCATCAACCGCAACAACAACCATCGCCAAGACATGTGAGATAGCCTAAATTTTGGAGTCAATTCAGTGTCAGTGATAATTTTTATTTTATTTTCATTTCGTAATTCTTTGTTTTATCTTTTTTTTAAATTTTGCTTTCATTTTATTTTGTGGGAATGATTTATAAATCACTTAATGAAATATGAAAAAACTTTTAATATTTGTATTTTGCTTTAAATGATTATGGTTTTATACGAATAATTTAAGTTTTGAAAGATTGGCACCACTTCCTTTAGAAAATGTTACTGCTTCTCTGCATGATTTCAAAATTAAGATACTATTTCACGACAACAAAAAAAGAAAAAAAAATACAATTAATTTAATTTATAATTGTTTGGTACATAAATAATTTTTGTTAATTTAAATTTATTTTTACAGCCAACAGAAGTGATTACAATGAATCTAAGTGTTCGCCTAAAGACTTGTGAAATTGAATTGCCAATTCTCCATCATTCACAGCCGGCGAACCAGCATCAGCATCAGCTTCAGCATCATCAACAGTTGAGTCCACACTCTCTTACAAATCAGTTGACGCTGACTTTACAACAGCAACCAATTTCACCAGCAATTAACACACAGACGTTCCAACAACAGCTGCGTGCATCCACAATTTCGCTGCAATCACAAGCAACCACAAGTCATAATCAACAACATCAACAGCACTCTAGTCATCATCATAATCATCACGGAATCGCGTCTACCAATGATGCTAACGCAACACATGAGACGGGTCGTGCTGTCGATAACCAGTATAGCTTCGTTTGAAATATGGCCAGATGATTTTGATCCAAAAGACAAAATAAATTTAAAACAACGTTGACTTATACGATAAAGGAATAGTTGATGATGGTAAGTGATATTCACAGAGCGACAAAATATGTAAATAACATAGAAAACTTCTTTATGTCCAAAGGCGACAGCTCTAAAATAAAACCTGCGTTTTAATTTGAATGATATTTTGTTAATTTATACCGATTAGTGCATTTCGATAACTTACGAAATATAATGAAAAGGTATAACTTTTTGGAATGTTTTATATTTATACATAATACAGTAATCCCCCCCTATAACGCGGTACTCTTATAACGCATTTTCATATTATGCGATTTCAATCTCCCGTATAACACGGGCATTCCCCCATAATGCACGGGGATTTGTACAGTTTATAATTAGCTTCGCGTACCTTTGCACGGTCTATACGAGAATACCCCTAAAACGCGTTTTCCTATAACGCTGAACCAATCTACTGCGTTATAGGGGGGATTACTGTATATGCAAAGTATGTGCCATTGAATATTTATATTTTTAAACAAATACACACTTTTGTTGGTAAATATTGTACCAAATTATTTTTGTGGACTGATAGTTTTTTTTTAAAACACTTACAATCCTGTGTGAATTATCAATAATTATTAACAATTATTAACATACATTGTGCTATAATTAATAATCACAGGAGTTGTTTTACAATTTAGAGTAACAGTTTCAAATTTTACTCCAATTAAATTTAGAAAGCAGGTTTTATTCAAAAGTAAATGCAAAAATTTATTACATATAAAAAATATAGTAGGAGTGAAGTTAAATAGATTATATTTTTTATGATATTATATATAATATTAACCGTTCCTCTTAAATTTATGCACATGTATATTTGTTAATTTAATGCTATAAAAATAAATTGTAAACATAAATATCTTCTTATTTAAACATAATATAATATATACATAAATATATAACATATTTTTATTAGGATAGTTGTGAAAACTTCAAACCATTGCTGTAAAATATTAATATACGATATAACTATAAGCTTTATATAAGGGAATAGCTTTTGAAATATGTATTATTGAATAAATATAACAACTTTAATGATATAAACATTAAAACAATGCCTAAAAAATAGGTGTTAATAAACGGGGTTCATATATGATATAGAGCTGTTCACATTTGCGTCCCCTTTAAAATTTTTTTCAACTTTTTCTACCAGTTTATCACTATCATTGCTTGCACATCATCAATGACAAGATTTTTCAAATAAATTTGGCTACAATTTTTATTGCTGTTGTTGGAACATGGAATAGAAACATATAGCTTAGAATGTGGTGAGGAGAATGCATTATAATAAGACGGGTTGTTTGCCAAAATATATATCTGCAGCTATAGTCCTTATAGGAATTATAGGAAGTCCTTATAGGTCGTGTTGATGAGTGGCACTTGAACGTAGATTGAGCCATTCTTGGAACCTAGTACCAGATATAATAAATAATAGGTTTAAAATCTGTTTTCAAATAAATATACTATTCCAAAATATTGTATTATAATTGATGGTCAGCAGTTTTCAAGAGAATTTTCATTCTTTTACAAAACGTTTACACTATCATAATTAATTCGATAACTATTTACCACTCTAGTGTCATTTTCACTTCATGCAAAACCATTCAGGATAATTGCTTCTTAAAAATAGAAAAAATTATTTTATACTTATTTTTTACCAAAAAAATACTGCCTTGAAACATTCCAAGTTATGTCAGGTTTATGGATGGTTTCTATATTCATAAAATACTTTCTTTTCATTGGTTCAAATTGTTCTTCTGGGAAGGTAAAAATCGTACGGTACCAAATTAGGTGAATTCAGATAGTAGTTGATGTCTAAAACACGAGTTTTGCCAAAAAAGTCTGTCACAAGTGTTAATTCTTAAGAGTAAGTTTTGGTCGTCAGTGAACTTGTATGGGACAAACTGTAAACACAGTTTTCGGTAGTGGAAACGTTCAGTTAAAATTCGGTAAATTGTACTTTCATGAACTTTTATTTCATGGTTTTTAATTTGTATTTTTAGGCTTACCATATACCTCTTTAGTGTATTACCAAATACTCATTATCAGTGGTTTTGGAAAAAAAGGTTTAATGACTAAATAAAAAAACCTAATCCATTTTTTTTGTAATTGTTTTTGTGCCTATAACAGAAATATACTATCACTTCAGATAGTATTATAGGTATGTAGTAGTAACTATTTTCTATTTGTCTAAATGTCAAAAAATTATGACAGTAATTTAATGAATGAGATCTCTAAGGCCCATGTTATGTAGAGTGTCTCAGGTACGGCAAAATTCGCTCTTTCGGACTATGCCGAAAATGCATGTTATGTAGACTGTCACATCAGTATTGCCAATTTCGTAGTTTTACAATGCTTTGGTACTTTTTGATTGTACCTAAATTTAAAAGAAAATGTAGATATGATTACTTTCAATTTGCCACCAAAAATAACCAGCTACAAAAAACTCATAGAGGCTGTAATGTTAATTGCTTATTATATTTTCTTATAATAATTGTTAACAGTACTTAACAGTACCAATACAGTACTAAAACATATTAAAATTGTAGTAATTTGTTCCTAAAAGTAGTAATTTGAAATTAATGATTAAACAACACTGCTTTGTTTAGTGCCGAGGCACAAATACGCCAGTTCTCATGCTGGAGTTTGAAACACGGTTGTCACTTTTTTCCGTTCCAAAATTGGTTAAAAAAGGTACCATTTCTGTAAAAAAAGTTCCAATTTTATACAACCTTTTTAGGTCCAAAAAAAGGTTGTATTTTAATAACAAAAGAGAATATATATAAACTGGGCAGAAGACATAGAACAGCACAAGTCTTTTTATTCAAATAATGGGATTATCTTTTACTGACCGTACATGGTGCATATATTTTTTTTCAAATAATTCTTTGCATAAGATAATATTATTTAAGGTCCTACAATCCATTTCGATCGAAATTTTCTTCCACCTTTTGCGGTCTCCATATTTTTTCTAAATCAATATATATAATTATATTAGTTTTATACTGGCCAGTTGCATCTATAAATAAATTTAATTAGATAACATAATATCCAATTATAATTGGATAATAGTATGTACAATAAAGTTCACGCCTCAAAAAACTACCATTTTCGAAAAACGAGTACCCGGGTACCATACGGAAAAAGTACCAGTTTTGGTACTAAAGTACCACATGTGGCTTGAAGGTCCATATTCCATATTCTCCCACTCTTGAATTTAAAATTTGCATTGAAAACAACAACAATTGTAATCATGCCGTGCCCGAGACATTCTACATAACATGGCCCTAAGCGATATATGTAATTTCCAGATGTAATTTCTAGATGGCCTTACTACAAATATTTATTTTAAAAAATCCTGTTTAATTTTTATTAATATAAATTAGATTTAATTCTGAACCAAATTTGTTTGTGATATTCTTTTTTCGGTATTTTATATTGTTTTTTTTTAAATAAAGTTAATTTGGATTTTGTTAAATTAATAACAACAGGTGGTCGAAGACCTAATTTAAGATGGAGCAGTATAGAAGAATATTTGGTAAATGTTCTTGATGTTGTAGACATCACCTTTGAAATTTTATATTACTTAATGCCTCAAAATAATAATTTGTTATTTATACTATCATGGTAACTTTTATACTTTTTCTCATCTTGATAAATTTGTAGCAGTTCTAATTTTTCGTATGAACTGCATGGAAATATTAAGTCAATAAATGAGTCTTATTATCTGAAATAATACGTGATAACTACATATACTAAATCAATAAGTACTACAATATTCTTGTTCACTAGGATTTATCACTTCATGAAAGGTTAGCAACGGTTTTTAAATTAGTTATATTATTTTTATTCTTTGGGTTCTTTTAAAAACATCTAAAACTTTAATTTGTAATTCTAATATACAAATATACTACATACGATATGATGTTTGATGTACAAATTGGATCAAACCGTCAATAGCTAGTCTCACAACACAATTGGGCAAGCAGAGATAGATCGCAAGCCCACAAGGTATCGTATTGAACCGATTCTTGTGAGCTCGTCAGCTATTCCGTTCTCTGATATGCCAGAATAACCAGGAACTCTTTAAAGAGTTAAGTCATTCTGTCTGCCAAAACAGGTTAATCTAGTGATTGAATTTGCTTTCTAATTAATATCCTCTTCATAATAATTTTCAGTAATTAATTTTTTCATTATTCACTTAAATGAACTTTGTATATACAAAAACAAAACGCATATAGTATACAAGACAACATTGTTGTTGTGACAAATTTGTTTTTTTGTTGTTCATTTGTACTTAGTTTCTGCATTTGCATTACTGCTTTTTGTTGCTTTGTGCTTAAAAATAAAAATAAAATAAATTGAAAAATATACTACATATTTTGTCTGCTGTAGAATAATGAATTCAGAAAAAATAAAGGATTTAAGTGGGTTTGAATTGAATATATCTGTAGACAATCTCTGTAAAACATTTGTATGGTTGTTTAGCGTCTGGTCTATTGTTAACAACTTTAGTGCTGGTTTTCATTATGGAATCATTCTTTATTATCTTCTCCTTTGAATATTGTACAAAATTGTTCTAGTATCTTAACTGGTAGTTCTTGTTGACTTTAATGCTTAACAAAATATATTAGAACTAATCAGATCTTTTGGTTTTACTTTTTTATTTGTCTTGTAATGTTTGTTTGTATAATTATATATATATCTATTTGTCATATCCTGAATACCTTTTACAGGTGTTTTTTGTTCTATACACCTATTATTTTAATTAGTATTAGGGTGATGTTCCATATTTCGACAGCTCCTTGTTATTTTAAACCTGGCACTTTCAAGCCGTGGATAACTAAAGTGTGGGATACCATAGCCCGGATATAGGGGAAATATTGTATATAAAAGAAACCAATTAATTATTTCCTATGATATTGTAGAAAAAGTTAAAAACTTTATACTAATTTTCGATGCAATGAAGAAGTTTACTTATAGGAAATGTCCCTAGAGATTGCATTAACCGTTGAAATTCTAGCAGTTATATTTTTACGACGTAGATCAATCGCACGTAGTCACTAAAAAGTTCTGACAGTGCTGTGTATTTCTTACCGTTTGATAAATATTCAACAATACATGTTAAAAACATATATATATATTTATAAATTTTTTGGAACACATTATTGCAAAATGCTATTGAATAATTATAAATTAAGAACAAATACTCTTACAAATAATAATAAACTAAATATATAATTAAATTATGTACAATGTCTCTTGTTTTGCATACTATATGTGTTATGGAATTGATTCTAATGTATACTTTCTTAACAAATAATTTGGTAATAAATAGACTATAGCTTTGAATAATTACAGCAAAATGCTTAGCTACAAAATACATGATATAAAATATTTAATATTATAAAAGAGTAAATAAAAATATTTAACCAGATATAAATCATTATTATATATACATATATGTAAAGGATAAGAAAAAATATATAAAATAAATTGTATAAATCGCGCC